AAAGCTCATTCATGGGGATCCCTTGTAGAAAACCATCCTTATTCTACGTGGGATCCAGAAACTACTTCCCCTGACCAAAATTATTAAAAATCTGAGCAGTTGGTCAAGACACAACCTAAGAGAAAAATTTAAAAAGTGAAAGGACAAAACTCAGACAAATTACGTCACACAGAAGTTCCCATGAATTTTCCATGAAAAACATATAGCTTCTAATTTAGAAAGCACTTTGGAGATTTTTAACTTTTACCTTGCTAAATTTTATTATTGGTTTCTCTGTAGTTTCTCAAAGTAAATATTCTTTACAAACATAACATATAGCAGTGGGCTACTTCTAGAGGCTTGAGGATAGAGAAGCAGCTGTCCAGATCAAATTACCCTTTGCATCTCTCCTATGGCTTCTCCAAACCATATCCAGGAAGTCCAGAGACATGGAGTTAAAGAACTATAGCAGCAGCACCTCGGGCTTCATCCTCCTGGGCCTCTCCTCCAACCCTCAGCTGCAGAAGCCACTGTTTGCCATCTTCCTATTCATGTACCTGGTCACTGTGGTGGGGAATGTGCTCATCATCGTGGCCATCCACTCTGACTCCAGGCTCCATACCCCCATGTACTTCTTCCTCAGCAACTTGTCTTTCATGGATATCTGCTTCACAACCGTCATTGTGCCCAAGATGCTGGTGAATTTCCTCTCGGAGACAAAGGCTATCTCCTATGTGGGCTGCCTGGCCCAGATGTACTTGTCCATGGCCTTTGGGAACACTGACAGCTACCTGCTGGCCTCCATGGCCATTGACCGGCTGGTGGCCATCTGCAAACCTTTCCATTATGATGTGGTTATGAGTTCACGGCGTTGCCTCCTCATGCTGTTGGGTTCTTGTACCATCTCCCACCTACACTCCCTGTTCCGGGTGCTACTCATGTCTCGTCTGTCTTTCTGTGCCTCCCACATCATTAAGCACTTTTTCTGTGATACTCAGCCTGTGCTAAAACTGTCCTGCTCTGACACATCCTCCAGCCAGATTGTGGTCATGACTGAGACCCTTGCTGTCATCGTGACCCCCTTCCTGTGCATCATCTTCTCCTACCTGAGAATCATCATCACAGTGCTCGGAATCCCCTCTGCAGC